CCACCAAACTATGGGTGAATTATAATTATCCTACTTCTTGTGGGACAGTGAAGCAGCAAACATCTGCTATACTGAATCAGAAAACCCACGAACGAAACTATACTAAACTGTGAATCATACCTGGACTCAGATTAAAGATTCTGTGTTGTGTTTACCTTTTTCTATTTTATTTGCAATTTAAAATATGGATTTGTTAACTCTGACTCCATGTTCTAAGGGAAGATGTATGTATTCTTTTCCCTGACTCCCGTTCTAACATTTGAAAATTATATCTTTAAAGCAGATATGCAATAATACATGGTAACTATTTTCCATTTGGTTTATTATCCCCTCACAGTTTTCTTTCTCTTCATAAGCATGGCATAAGTAAGAAAACTTAGGAAAGCATAGTCTAAGAAAGTATGTCGTTTCACTTTAGGGTTGGCTGGCCCTATAACCTAGCAGTTAAGGGAGCTGGATCCCACATGGCTGATTACGGTTTGATTCTTTGACCTGGTGGCTTCAGGGACATGCCAGATGCATGTGTGTGCATGTCCAAAATCCTGACAGGATGGGGATATAGGAAAAGGGATGGCGGCATGACCACACCATCTTCAGAGGCATTGTATCTCTCTCCTGGCGAGTGCATGTGCCATCTGGCAAAAGCAAACAAAAAAAATTCAAATATAAGTAATTTTAGGATTAGTGACAAAGGAGCAGAAAATAATTAGCTTTATCGAAAGAAAGAAACTTTATAACTTTTATTATTTATCTTAATTTCATGTATCATGTATCTATGATAACTAAACTGCTCAGAGTGTGGAAAGGAAAATAATGGTACATCAGTTTCGAGTTTTACCTGTGAAAATATAAATAGCTTACTTGTTTTAAAAGTTTTTTGTCTTTTTTGTTTTTATCTATTAGAGGGCAGAAAGACAAACTCGAATTATGGATTCAGCTCAGTATGCAGAATTCTGTGAAAGTCGCCAATTAAGTTTCTGTAAGTAAGCGTTAAGTTTGCTTAATTATATGTATAAAAGATTGTGTGTTACAGATGGACTAAAGTATGACATGATCTCTGTTTCTTAGAAATCGGTGGACTGACTGTATCATAGTTGGAACTATTACACCAGTAACCTCTGCACTGTGTAGAAGCCTGTTAAAGATTTTACTTCGTTCTACAGCTTTGCAATTAGTAATATTAAGAGATTTTAAAGGGTTCTAGTAATATCCAGAGAGCCTGGTTAGTAATTCATACTACTTTCCGTCAGAAAAATCCCCTTTTTCTTAGTATTCCCATTTTAATTTCTTTTTCAGTTTCTTAGTCATGTTTACACTAGTATTATTACTATACTTGACCTATACTGGAATCGAATGGTCCAGTCATGACATTTAAAAGCCCCCATATTAATTATAATTACCAAACTTTCTTTTTACACATACTTATATTACCACAAAGAAACATATCAATGGTCTGTTCCATTTTTGTCTTTAACCTCCTGCTGTGTCACTGTTTGCCAAAGTCATTAGTTCATACTCTCATAACACTCATACCTAGTGGTAAAATTAGTACTTTCCCATCACTGCACACTAGATTATTAAAAGTACATAGACTCATTTAGTGGGCTGAATTGCGTAGCAAACATCTTTATAGCAACAGTGACTGATGACTAAGTCTCTCAGGGTAAAGGTCAAAGAGAAAGTATGGTGAAAAGTCCAGTTAAAAACATGACAAAGTTGCACATGACCCTGTCTGAGGAATTGCAGGAACAATGGTGTCTTTAAACGAAATGCTATTATGTGCTCACAATAACAGCGTGTTTGATTTGGAAAAGGAAAATGAGAGCTACATTTATAGATCATAAAGTGCAAATAAATGACACATTTCAAATAACGTCCAGTGTAAATGTCAGTCAAATATAGGAAAACATGTTTTGGAAGGTTTTTTTTTTTTGTAACTAAATATACTTTCCAATCTGACTAACAATTGGCATCGTACATCTGCGAAGCATTAAGTAAATGACACTTCAGATCATGGTAATTTCAGCAAATGAGAGGTTTTTGTATTGTAATTTTTAGGTTTAAATATGGCATTCAAGTCTTTTATAAGTATAAATCTCTAGTTTATAAAGTAACATTTAGTGCAATTGAACTATTTTTTCAAATCATATTTTAAATTTAATTTACTTAAAGGAATAGAAGTGCTATTTCACACTAAAATTAGGTCTTAAAGTCTCCTGCTATGCTTTTGTTTGAAAATCAGATTTTCAGTTATTTCATTTTCTTAACTTGATGAGAAACTGTAGTACATTAAAAATACATACCCTCCCCTTCCATATGAAATAAATATAAACAGTCTGATGTGTCTTCAAAAAGTTCATGGAAAATGCATATTATGAAAAACTACTCATGAGTTTCAGCATTTTTTGTACCAAAATAAACTGATATTTTAATTTCATTTTTCAGTGAACTTTAATAAATTCTTTTCATTATCCTTTTTAAAGAATTATTTATTTAATATTATTTTTTAATTTGGCCGGGAGAGAGCAAGAGAAAGGGATAGTGAGAAAGCAAGTCACCAGGTCCAGGACTCAACCTGCGGTCAGCCATGTGGGAGTCCAGTGCCTTAACCACCATGTCACCTGCCATTTTCTCTTATTATCCTTAATTTTTTTTTTCTTTAGAGGGGATGGATTTTGTCCATTAAAATATTTGTTTATATGACATCCATAGGTGCTTCATTATGAAACCTAGGTGGGAAAATCTGTTTTATATGACAAAATACTGTGGCTAACAATGCTTAGTCTAAGTGAGTCAACAAACTTGAAGATTGTTTATAAATTGATTTGAGTGTTAGGCTACTTTCATTCTTTTGATAAACTACCAGTCTATAGGAATTGTGATTCTGCCATATTTGTCTTCTTAAGTATTTGATCACAGGTGTCACTGGAATTACTGGTACATTTTAAAGTTGTGAGTCTGTAACTTTATAGGGTAAGCTGTAGCATTAGGACCTTGATCAAATTCACCAGTTTTGTGTTTTTCTATATTTATTTAAGTCAGGCATTTTCTTTTTTAATTTTTAATTTACTTTATACAAACAGTATACATCAGTTAGCTTGTACAGTGAATTTACCCAACATGAATACACTTCAGTCCATTTCAAGATACTATACACATTATCACCAACAGATAATCATCCATTTCTGAATTTACCTCTCTATTTTTCTCCTTAATTTCTTTCTTCATATTCTCCCCCTTCTCCTACCCTCTTCCTACACTGTCTTCAGTATCCCTAACCATTTTTCTTGCTCCTCTAGCCTCTAGTCTTTGAGTTTCTGCCATAGAGCAATTGTGATTAATGCTGCAATAAACATGGATATGCAAGTGTTTTTCTAAATGAGTGTTTTTCTATCTTTTGGGCAGATACCCAGGAGTGGAATTGCTGGATCATATGGTATTTCTATTTGTAGATCTTTGAGGAACCTTGATATTGTTCTCAAAAGTAGCCGGAGCAATTTTCATTCCCACCAACAGTGTAGGAGAGTTCCTCCTTCACCACAGCCTCACCAACACTTACCATTTTTTTTTTTTTTATCTTTGCCATTCTGACTGGGGTCAGGTGGTATCTCATTGTGGTTTTGATCTACATCTCCCTTATGAGGGATGTTGAGCATTTTATCATATGTTTTTTTGTCTGTTCCTATGTCTTCCTAGGGAGTTATTTGTTCAGTTTATTTCCCCATTTTTTAAATTGAGTTGATCATTTCCTTTAAAGTCTTTTTTAGCCTGTTATTAGTATTGGTTCCCAAAGCTTTCTTTAATTAGTGGATTGTCAGAAAAGTCATGACACATGTTTTGCATAGAAAAACAGAAAAATAACGTCATGACTTTTCCAACAACCCAATAAAATTTGTCTGGTAAGTCATTTTCCAATCCTTACTTTTCAATCTTTTATTTTATGATTGATTTTATGAACAACTGTGCCTAGATTTTCTTTTTAATTGATCAGAGAGTCTCTATGTATTTTAATTGATGAGTTTGATTTATATATGCTTAATTGCTGATAAATTTGGATTTCTATATGCTATCTTATTTTGTGCTTAAGTTTACTGTGATTTTTAAATTTGTTTTCTCCTCTTTTTCTACACTCAATTGGATTGACTGGTTTTTTATTTATTTTTAAGTCTTGGACCAGGCAGCTTGGAAAACACTCTGGACACATGTGCATTCATGCCCAAAACCCTGAGAGAAATGAAGGAGCAGGGATTATGGCATGGTCAACCCCCCCAGGAGATGATTTCTCATTTTCTCTTTCACATTCTCTCTCTCTCTCCACTCCCTGACCCCCAGCGAGCACACATGCTGTATAGCAAACTGTTTTGTTTTTTTTAATCACCTAAATATACATTGCTGGCTTAAAATTTTTATTTTATTTTTAGGTTTTTGCCATAGGACACATTTGCTCACCAGAGAGAGACCGAGAGAAAGTTAAAAATTGCCCACCCAGCAGGGTGACCACACTTCAGTACCTTCTTCATCTGTCTCCTCTCAGGATTTAGGGCACACATGCAAACACACTTGGCATGATTTTCAAGCCACCAGGTCCAGGATTTGAACCATGGTCAACCATGAGAGTCCAACACCTTAACTGTCATGCCACCTGCTAGTGCTCCTGACTTAAAAAACTTTTATAAAGGATAAGCATCTAAACTTTCATTGTTGTCTTGAAGTATTTAAAGCACTCATTTTTTAGAGTTAAAATGGCTTTATTTTCTTCCATATTTAAATTATTGTTTAGTTGGGAAGTTACTTGTTAAAATACAGTTCCTTGGGACCAGCAGTTGATGTGATAGTTAAGGCACTGGACACTCCCACATGGTCAACCACAGTTCAAATCCCAGACCTGGTGGCTTGCTTTCTCACTTTCTTTCTCTCTCTCTCTCTCCCTCTCCTTCTCCCTCTCCTTCTCCCTCTCCCTCCTTTTTCCCTCCCTCCCTCTGACTCTCTCTCTGTTCAAATTAAAATAAATGAACAAATACATGAAATTTTTAAAAAATACAATTCCATTGTCTGCTATCAGTCTACTTGATTTTTATTTTTCCTTATGGAAAATTAAGAAAATGAGGCTGTTGCCTCCAGTAACTATGGTATATGAGGAAATAAATAGACAGACAAAAAGTAGCTAATAAATATGTTTAGAAGGAAGGAAATAAGGAACCCCTGTTATGGAAGGTTCCAGGGAAACCCATGCCCTTTAAGGAAGGCTAATTTCAATTAATGTTAAGAACTGTGATTCTGAAGAGGTTTTGTTTGCAGAAGAATTTTTTCAAAGTGGAATGAGCATTATAGAAGACGGAAGGAAAGATTGTAGTAGAAAGACTGGTAAGAAAGGATGAAGTAGAAATCACAAAATAGTATTCTGGAATGGCAGAATGAACTTTTGTAAGAAACTTAAATTTTGTTAGAGATCATTGATAAAGATAAAAAGTATGTGAAACTAACCTTAAGTTTTCATTCTAAAACATTGTGTTACTGAACAGAATGAAAACCCATTAAGTGTCAGAAAGTTGATAATACTAAAACTTTTGGCCTTTCTTCAAGATTTTATTTAAGCTATTAAGACAATTTTCAGACTATCCATTACTTTCTGATATGCTGAGAAAAGGAGCAAAGGAGAAGGAAAGAGGCCCTCTCACCGTTTGATGGATACGGGGATATCTGTGCCTCCTTTGGTAAAACCATCAATACCCAGGAAGAGTCGTTCTCTGGAGCAAGGCTTCTCCAGATGGCCGAGGGTTGGGGCTGGGGTTGGGGAATTAGGTTAGCAAATCCTCAGCTGTTGGTAGAATACCAGTAATGCAAGTGGTTTATGGACCTCTATGTGTTTGGACCCTATGTTTTCATTTTTAAGAAATAGTTGTTCATTCGTTCATTCATTCATTCATTTCTCCTAGAATTTTTCTTCTTATCCTCAGTGTTTACAATCTAGGGAAGAAGCTACTTATTCTAATGTGATCTGACTGATTACTAATGGTGACCCTTTCCCTTTTATTTGTTTTATTTTAATTGCACTTGTACTCTCCTGCCTATGGAGAGAAGGGGAGAAAAAGAACCACACTCCAATGGATTGTAGTCACACAATCCCTTCTCCTCCATGTCTCCATCCTGTCAGGATTTGGGGCATGCATACACACACGCCTGATGTGTTTGGCAAGCTGCTAGGTTCAGGATTCGAACTGTAGTCAACCATGCGGGATCTGGCTCCCTTAACCAGTAGGCTGCAGGGCCAGGCCATCAGCCATTTATTATCTCTTGTTTTCCCTTACTTTTAAATAAATTGTTTAGAGTGCAGTCACAAAATATTTCTTCACATGTTGCTGACAATCTCTCAAAGGGAAAAGGAATAAAGTACACTTTATTGATCTTGCCAAATTGCTGCCTGTTAACTTTAACTTAAGAAATATTCCCCAGATGTTAAACAAGTGTTTGTGAGCTATTGCAGCTTACTAGTTAGATGGAATGCTGCATGACAGAGAGTATTTGGAAGATTGGTTACTTTAGGGAGATAGCTTTAAGAGGGAGGATCATAATTCTGCCACATTTGACAGGTCTGAATGTGTGCTTCGATAGCAGACTTAATGTCTTCTGTGATTTATTTAAAAGAAAACTATTCTCTATGTGGAATCCATGAAGATTCTATCTATAAGGATCAAAACCTCATGCTTTGAGTTATTGCTAAGTCGTTTATAGATCTGTGGGGCCAGATTAATCAAAGCAATAATCAATCGGTGGATTTAAAAGAAAGGATTATTTTATAGATTTGCCAAAATCTTTACTATCAATCTTTTCTATCTAGGTTACTAGGTGATTAGTAACATCTAGTGAAGGCCCTGTATCAAATTAGACTCTGCTTAGCACTGTGGCAATTTAGAGATATTTAACTGACGGTTCCATAAGTGGTTGTTACTGTTAGGTATGTAGTAGAAGGTCCTTAGGCATGGTCTTTTCCCACAGAGAACTTAGAATACGGTTTGTGAGATTATAAGCAAGCATGAAAGGATATGTGATGATGTTAAGTGGCCAATAAATGACTAGCGTGGGGCAGTATGCCTTTGACCTGAAGGTCAGGATTCACATGAGTGAGGAGAGTGGTAAGAGAGCATTCTGTGAAGGAAGGGAGCTGGAGTGAACACAGAGGAATTGCTCTCAAAGCCTGCCGGGGTCCAGCCTCGGCGTGGGTGGGCTATCTCGACGGAGGCGGCGCTGGAAAGGAAGACTAAGGCCTCGATGCTTTTCATGCACGTCCTTAGCCGGACACTCCCAAAGATCGCTCTCTGAGGAGTGACAACTGCTAGGAATCATCGTGCCTTTTTATTGAAAATGTGATACATGCAAGTAAATGGGTGAGGGGCAGTAAAAGATTTACGTCAGGATTTGGGGCATGCATACACACACGCCTGATGTGTTTGGCAAGCTGCTAGGTTCAGGATTCGAACTGTAGTCAACCATGCGGGATCTGGCTCCCTTAACCAGTAGGCTGCAGGGCCAGGCCATCAGCCATTTATTATCTCTTGTTTTCCCTTACTTTTAAATAAATTGTTTAGAGTGCAGTCACAAAATATTTCTTCACATGTTGCTGACAATCTCTCAAAGGGAAAAGGAATAAAGTACACTTTATTGATCTTGCCAAATTGCTGCCTGTTAACTTTAACTTAAGAAATATTCCCCAGATGTTAAACAAGTGTTTGTGAGCTATTGCAGCTTACTAGTTAGATGGAATGCTGCATGACAGAGAGTATTTGGAAGATTGGTTACTTTAGGGAGATAGCTTTAAGAGGGAGGATCATAATTCTGCCACATTTGACAGGTCTGAATGTGTGCTTCGATAGCAGACTTAATGTCTTCTGTGATTTATTTAAAAGAAAACTATTCTCTATGTGGAATCCATGAAGATTCTATCTATAAGGATCAAAACCTCATGCTTTGAGTTATTGCTAAGTCGTTTATAGATCTGTGGGGCCAGATTAATCAAAGCAATAATCAATCGGTGGATTTAAAAGAAAGGATTATTTTATAGATTTGCCAAAATCTTTACTATCAATCTTTTCTATCTAGGTTACTAGGTGATTAGTAACATCTAGTGAAGGCCCTGTATCAAATTAGACTCTGCTTAGCACTGTGGCAATTTAGAGATATTTAACTGACGGTTCCATAAGTGGTTGTTACTGTTAGGTATGTAGTAGAAGGTCCTTAGGCATGGTCTTTTCCCACAGAGAACTTAGAATACGGTTTGTGAGATTATAAGCAAGCATGAAAGGATATGTGATGATGTTAAGTGGCCAATAAATGACTAGCGTGGGGCAGTATGCCTTTGACCTGAAGGTCAGGATTCACATGAGTGAGGAGAGTGGTAAGAGAGCATTCTGTGAAGGAAGGGAGCTGGAGTGAACACAGAGGAATTGCTCTCAAAGCCTGCCGGGGTCCAGCCTCGGCGTGGGTGGGCTATCTCGACGGAGGCGGCGCTGGAAAGGAAGACTAAGGCCTCGATGCTTTTCATGCACGTCCTTAGCCGGACACTCCCAAAGATCGCTCTCTGAGGAGTGACAACTGCTAGGAATCATCGTGCCTTTTTATTGAAAATGTGATACATGCAAGTAAATGGGTGAGGGGCAGTAAAAGATTTACTCTAAGGAACAGGGTATACAAAGCATGGAAGCAATAATTATAAAACATGCTGTTTGTCTTGTTAGCTCAGGTAAAGTCAATCACAGTTCTCAGGATGAGGAAGTCCATTTGTCTGCTGTATCTTCTTCTTGGATCTTGATTACTGGGAAGAGTCTTTTGAAGAGGGGGCTTGCAGGATGTTTGACAACTTCAGTCCCGGGCCAGGGCGATAACGTTGCTGGTTGCAAAGACCTAGATAGAAATCTTGTCTTGCTAAGTAAAGACACAGTTAATATATGGACTATCTATACATTACAACAATAGAGGATGAGTCTATGATCTTATATGGGAAAGGAAGATGATCTTGTAGCTCCGGAGACAACACAGGATGTTTTATTAGCAGTTTTTCATAGTCAACAGCACATAGATGAGAAACTCTTTGTAGTTGAAAGCTACCTGTTGCTTTAGATAAGAGCTCCCAGCTAAAATGGTTAATCTTTCTGTGGAGCCCTCAGCTTTGTTTATTCTGTTGTCCCATCCAGGCTTTTTCCTCTAATAAATCTGTGGGTTCCTGCATTTTGTTTGTTGAGTCTGTCAATAGTGAGTTCTTTTGTTTTATCTCTGAGTCTCTGTTATGTGGTGAATGTGCTGACTTTGCTAGTGTGAGTTAACTTTGGCCTGTAGCTTTAACAAGGGGTATGTAAGTAAAACTAACCTTAAACTAACTTAGTCTACATATGCTTCTGATGCTAATTTGGTTTATACTAACTTAATCTATATGTTAATTTTGGCTTAAAAACAGACAGGTGGGGGAGTCTTAAACTTCCTGATCCTCATGTCAGTCTTAGGGAACCACATTCCTACAAGATCACTAATTGGCTTTATTGCAATGGTTGGGGGTGATGTTTTACCCTTGCAGGGTACCGTAATAACAGTAAAACTCACGGCAGAGAAATTGAATACCGGCCAGTTCAAGGACACAAGGGAGGGCTCGTAAACCGGGCCTTGCCTCAGTTTCTTCCCAGTCCAGGCCTTGCCTTAGAATGGGAGGCAGCATCCTTACCAGCTTGTGTTGCCTGCATGGCCCCGTCAAAAGCCAGGTGATGGTCTAATGGGAAAGTAATGTAAAGACAGGTTGGAGTCAGTCTGGATTGTTTTAAGAGTCAGGCATAAGAATGTAGACATTTTCATAATCAGGAAAATGTACCCATAGGCCTAAAATCAGACCAGATATCAGCTCTTTTTATTTAATTCTAAATTCACAACTTTGAGCCTATTCTAATGATAGACACATTCCGAAAAGTATTAGAAACAGTTTCTTTTCTTTTTTCTTCAGTTTCCAGAAGACGCATATACTCACCAAGTAAGACAGAAAAAGAGAAAGAGAGAATATCCTCCAATAAAGCATGGTTATGCCGCAATCCCATGTCTTCCATTTTTCCATACTGCCGGGATTTTGAGCACATGTGCACCCATACCTGGTATATTTTTCAAGCTACCAGGGCTAGGATTTGAACCATGGATGACCATGTGGGTTCTGGCTCCTTTAACCACAAGGCTACAGGCAGCCCATAGAAATACAGTTTCTGGGTGTTCCTTTTTTCATTACAGGTTTTAGCTTGCAGGATTTTTATTTCACCATAGTAAATTAAAGTTACACCAAGCAATTAATTCCCTGTGGTAACAAGCTATGGCTAGTGATAACTTACTTTGAAGCAGTGTAATAAGTTCTCAACCTTAAGTGATGTAGCATACACATATATATATACACACATATAATATAGATACAAAAAAGTATCCAAATGTGTAACATAAGCGATTTCTTGAAAACAACCACTGTGTTGCCTTGTTACTGAAGGTTATAACTTGGGTTTCTTGGGGCTAAAATACCTAAATATAGCTAATAATTATCAGGAGACAGTTTTCATTCTGTACTAGCATTATGTAGCATTTAAACACTATAGAAATTGAATTTTGTATCCTATTTTTTTTTTAATGGCTAGACAAAAAAGCTTCCAAATTTCGAGACTGGTTGGACTGCAGCAGTATGGAGATAAAACCCAATGTTGTTGCTATGGAAATTTTGGCATATTTAGCATATGAAACTGTGGCACAGGTAAGTACTCCAATCTGTCTCATTAGGCCACATATGGCTGGTTTCTCATCTCTGTGCATGGTCAGTTCTTCCACCTGCCACTGTACCAGGATTGAAAACAACCATGAGTTCTCTGCTGGGACATACGACTTTCTAGAATTTATTTCAATTATGTTTCTTTACATCCTCAGCTCTAATGTGTATTAGAATAAAAAAGACTGTTTCTTGCCCAGTTTATCCTAACCAGAAGTTGAATAACTGTGTATTTCTTTTTTGACATTGAACTCTGAGTCCACATCTGTCTTATTTAAAGATTCCTTTTGAGGTTTGAAAAATGCTATTTTAGGTGTTTAAGGTCACCTGAGCACATAGCAAATCTGGGTCTGGAATCACTGGCCTCCACAAGAGTCTCTTAAAGTGTGGTCTTCAGAAAACATCAGCCTTCTCTTGGTTCCTGCTCAAAATGGAAATTCCTAGACTACACCCTTTGAACAGATCTACTGAATTAGGATCTTTGGCCTTGGAGCCAAGAAATCTGTATTTTAAATGCTTCCTAGTGATATGAAATAAATTTTGAGAACCACTCTCGTAGGAGGTCAGAATGCATCATTTCTATTCATGAGTAGTCCATTCACCAGTCATTAAAAGTGCGTGCTCATGTCCAAGCATATACTTGGGCAGGCAGTATTATCAATAACATTTGGAATGTATCGCTTTTAGGTTTTACGCTTCAGTGGCATTCATGATTATTTCCAGTTATGTGATGTTATTTTAATTTCTCTAAACTTCTAGCTAGTGGATCTGGCTCTTCTTGTGAGGCAGGACATGATAACCAAGGCAGGAGATCCCTTCAGCCATGCCATTTCTGCAACCTTCATTCAGTATCACAACTCTGCTGAGGTAAGTATTAATAAATACATCTTTAACATACAGAGTCTTCAAAAAGTTCATGGAAAATGGAATTATTGTATTTTGGTGCAAAAATATTTTTAAATCCATGGATGATTTTTTTTTCATAATATCTATTTCCATGACCTTTCAAAGACCCCATGTATCTGTGTTTTGTCACATTTCTGGTTTTTCATTAGTAGTTCTTTGTAAAAGATTATGTAGGAATAGATAACCTTCAGTCAAGGAATCTTAATATATTCAACATACAAACAAATATTTATTGAATTCCTACTATATGCCAGGCCCTGAGAGTCCACTTAATATAATGATTTTTTTTCCACCTTTTTCTTACCTCACTCAGCATTCCTAACCCTTCAGCAAAAGAGGGAGAGTTACAGAGCACTTCTTATTTCTGTGGGAGGTGAAGGTTTTGATAATTGACTGATCTTGGGAAGTTATTTTATTTCTTTATTCCTCAAAAGATGAAAATGTTCTTATCATTGGGACCAGTGGTTGGTGTAATGGCTGTGTCGCTGGACTCCCATGTAGTCGACCGGGGTTCGAGTCTGGACCGCTTAAACTCACAGCAGGTGTGTGTGCGTGCATGCCGAGAAGAGAATGGAGGAGAAGGGATTGCAGCATGGCCATCCCCTCTGGGAGTGTGATTGCTGGCTTTCTGTCTCTCTGTTTCTCTCTGTCTTTCTGGCAAGCGCATGCTCCCTATAGCAAAAACCTTTCCAAAATAAAAAGAAGAAGAAAAAAAAAAAAAGGAAGAAGGAAAGAAAGAAAATGTTATTATCATTAATATAATAATAATTTCTGGCATTTATTGATAGCCTTCCATCTCAGCTATTGATTAATCTCTACATATAATTTAAAGAAGCTTGGTTTCATTTGTTTTCAGTATCTAGATTGGCCCCATCATGTGAAAAATCATATTTTTTTCTCATCTACTTTGAGCTGCTGGGTCCACACCTATGAGTACTGTAAGGTCTTCTTGCCCATCTCAAGGCTTTACATAGCACTTGGGCACCACTCTTAGTTTATAGAATATTCTCTGTAATTAGCACCTGTCTGAAAACCACAATCATAATATAATATGTTGGCTATATTTGCTAACATGTGACCTTTTTTACTTAAAAAAAATTCATATAATTCAATCACGTAACTATAGAAAAAAAGGTTAACAGCTGTATGTATAATTGTGAAGTGAGTTTTGTATCAAGTTTGGTGAAATTGTATAACCTAAAAATGGCTAAGGTCTGTTTTACATCTATACCTTATTACAGATATATGTTCCCTACTGATATCTGTAGGTAAGTGTGGGGACTCAAATTGTCCCAAAAAAAAGTTGTAATTTTTTTTAAGTCACAGACTTTTCTGAGGATCTGCTGGAAACTATAAACTGTTTCCTCATAAACACATTCACAAGTTTTGCATACAATTTCATGTCATTTATAGACTCTCTGAAGTCATTCTGTGGATCTAAAGGATCTCTTGAACCCTATTGACCCCACGTTTAAGAATCTCTTCTCTAGGTACTTATAAAATATATTATAATATATGACTGTGTAGCATAGTATTACAAACCAAAAGTCAGTTTGACATCTTTTTTTTATGCTCCTTGGAGAAACAGATTGGTGTGGGATCCAAGTAGGGAGGGAAATGTTGGTGCCCATTAAAAATCCATTTTTTTTTTGTTGGAAAAGGTCATACATCATTATCAGTCAACATACTTTAAAAGTCCCTAAAGATTACTTCATTGATTAAACACTGTTTTCTTTATGTTACAAATCCAAATTACGATGTCAAAGAATACCCTTTAAAATGTCTTTGATGTATGTTCACTTTATAAATATGTATTAAAGCATGCTTTCCATTAACATTGTACAAATTTGTTGTAACATTTCTTTTTTTTTTTGGAGAGGTTTTTGCAGTAGGGCGCGTGCGCTTGCCAGAAAGACAGAGAGAGACAGAGAGACAGAAAGCAAGAAATCACCCTCCAGGGGGGATGGCCTTCTCCTCCATTCTCCTCTTTTCTCCTCTCGGGATCTTGGGCATGCACGCACACATGCCTGGTGTAAGTTTTAAGTCACTGGGTCCAGGACTCAAACCATGGTCAACTACATGGGAGTTCAGCGACATAGCCATTACGCTAACTGCTAGTTCCTGTTGTAACATTTCTAATTGCAGAAATTTACCATGAATATATCAATTCTAGTTTTCTCTTAATATTCACGTGATTGCTTGCATAGCTAGGCAAACTTTATTTCACCTCCTCTCTTGGTTCTCCAAGGTGGCCAAGCTACCAAGGGCAAATGATCAGCAACCGTAGTCATTGTTCTCAACTGAGAACAAACTGCTGGGCAAATGACCTATATGTGCTGAGTTTCCTGAGCTCTCTGGAAGGTGGGAGCATTAAGTGTCAGAGAGCATCCTAATGAAATATTAGTACAAGCCTCAAGCTTTTTCCTTGCCTGGCAAATACTCCTCCCCTTTGAATAGTATTCAAAATGAACATTCAGCAAGACTGAAAATCTCACCCATGCCTTTTATTACCTGGCAAGCACAAAGAAAATGGCCACTCAGATAGCATTCTTACACATCACCATTACTAATCAACAACCAGCAGCAAGTGCCTGAACATCAAGGGCTATACAAAATTGAGTCTGAAGGGGGACTCTGAAGATTGATATAGGCGTTTAGGGAGATGAAATGTTTTTATGAAACAAACAAGCGGTTCTCAGTAGCATATCCTAATTTACAGAAGAGTGGCCCAGACAGAAATGTAAAGGTTAAAAAAGAAAGAAAAGGAAAAGCAAAAACTCTTCAGTTACAGTAAAAAAATAAGAAAAAGCTGAATGTTGAAAAGAAAGAATTTTGATGAGAAGGGTAGTAGCATAGAGACTACTTTAGGCTTTTTTTTTTTTTTTTTAAGGTTTTTGCTGTAAGGCATACTTGCTGAAGAGAGAGAAAGTGAGAAATCACCCCTGGGGAGGGTAGCCACACCACAATCCCTTCTATTCCATTCTCTCAGGATTTTGTGCACACATACAGATGTGCCGGGCACAATTCTCAAACCACAGTCAGCCAGGTGGTGTCCAGTGCCTTAACCACTGTGTCACCTGCTGGTTTCTACTTTAGGCTTTAAAAGCAACATAAGACTATTATACAAAGAAAAATAAAACAACTCTGGCTGAAATATTCTAGCAAAAGGCTTATTAAGAAAGGACAGTAGGAAGTTAGACTGGAAAATTAAGTCCCAGATTGTATAGGGTATTTACTGCTATAGTTACTAAGGAATACTTGAAAGTTTCTTTTTCTTTTTTTTATTATTAATTTTATTTATTTATCCCATCCCTAAACAAGAGAGACCGAGACAAAGACAAGACAACATCCCTCACTGGATCTTTTTCTTTTTTTGGAGAGGTTTTCGCTGTAGGGCGCATGCACTCGCCAGACAGACAGAGAGAGACAGAGAGACAGAAAGCGAGAAATCCCCCCCCAGGGGGTATGGTCACACCACAATCCCTTCTCCTCCATTCTCCTCTCGGGATCTTGGACACGCACGCACATGCGCCTGGCGTGAGATTTAAGCCACCGGGTCCGAGACGCGAACTGCCGTTGACTACGTGGGAGTCCAGCGACATAGCCATTACGCCAACTGCTGGTTCCCCCTCACTGGATCTTGATGTGATGATTCAGTCCCTGCCTTTAGCCAGTCCTGGATCATGGGCAAGTATATGCCTGGTATACTTAGGAAAGTTTTCAGACTTGAGCCAGGAACTTCCCATGTTGGACTGGCTCAGAGAACATTTCATTTGACCATTGTGCCACCATCTGGTTCCTACTAGAAAGCTTCTTGACTAAAGAGTGATAAGTTCAAAAGGATATTCTAAGAAGATACAGTGGATAGAATTGGAAACTCTAAGGATGGATTTAATATTACAATGTATTGGGACCAGCAATTGGCGTAATGGCTGTGTCGCTGGACTCACATATAGTCATTTGCAGTTCAAGTCCCGGACCTGGTGGCTTAAACTTACACCGGGCACATGTGTGTGCGTGCCCAAGATCCTGAGAGGAGAATGGAGGAGAAGGGATTGCAGCGTGGCCACCCTCATGGGGACGTGCTTTCTCGCTTTCTGTCTCTGTCTCTCTCTCTGTCTTTCTGGAAAGCACACGTGACCTATAGCAAAAACCTCTCAAAAATATACATATATAGGGAACTAGCAGTTAGGGTAATGGCTATGTCACTGGACTCCCACGTAGTCGACCGCGGTTCACATCCCGGACCCGGTGGCTTAAAACTCACACTGGGCGCATGTGCGTGCGTGCCCAAGATCCTGAGAGGAGAACGGAGGAGAAGGGATTGCGGCGTGACCATCTCCCCAGAGGGTGATTTCTCGCTTTCTGTCTCTATGTCTCTCTCTGCCTGTCTGGCAAGCGCATGCGCCCTATAGCGAAAACCTCTCAAAAAAAAAAAAAAATATATATATATATACACACACATATATACACACACAATTGTGTATATTGTGTTTTAAAGAGCATTATTCTTGAGCACTAACCATATAAAGAACTGAGCTATTTAAGCTTAGGTTCCTCTATTAGATTAGCAAATTAAAAGTTAATTAAAGTTAATTTTTTATATTTATTTCTTTCTCTCTTTCTTTTTATTAAGAGAGATTTTTGCAGGGGCTGGCAAGTGGCATGGTGGTTAAAGGCACTGGACTCCCACATGGCTGACTACGGTTCAAGTCTTCAACCTGGTGGCTTGCTTTCTCACTTCCCCTCTCTCTCTGTGTCTCTCTAATCAAACTGGAAAATAATAATGATAATAATAATAAAGTTAAATAAAATCATTCTTAAAAAAAAAAGATTTTTGCTGTAGGGCATGTGTGCTCACCAGAAAGACAGACAGAAAGCAAGAAATCTCCCCCCAGGGGGCTGGCCGCACCACAGTCCTTTCTCCATTCTCCCCTCAGGATTTTGAGCGCACACATGTGCCCTGGATCCGGGACTCAAACCGTGGATGGTCATGTGGGACTCCAGCAACATAACCATTATGCCATCTGCTAGTCTCAGAACTTTTTTCGTAATCCATAGTTTACATATAGAAAACAGTGATTCCTTGGAGTTGTCTTGTTTTTCCAGGAACAAGTCATGTCTGATTAGCCTTATTCCCTCTTGTTTGTTCATATTTCTAGGCAAGCAGATCAGGGAAACCAGTGTCTGAGTTTTAGTAAGGCAGTTTGCAAAGTCTAGCATAATTTTTAAAAAATATGCTGCAGAGCATTGTGGGCCAGTAGATAATGTGGTTGATAGAATGAGAAAAATATAGATTAATAATACCATACCTGAAAAGGACATATTTAAATTTTTTATATTATTATTTATATTATTATATAAATTTCTTTTCTAAATTTTATTATTATTTTAATTTATACATTCAGTCACTGTACATCACTACAGCTTGTAAAATGAATTTGCCCAACATGAACAAACTTCTCACCAGTCCAGTTGACGATATCATACACGTTATTATCAACAGACAATCCTACATTTTTGTGTCCCTCAAATGTTTTGCCTCTCTATTTTTCTACTTGCTTTCTTTCCTTTCACTCTCCCCCATCCCCCACCCTTTTCCCATACTGTCTCCAGTATCCATAACCATTTTCTGTGCGTCTGTATCCTCTAATCGTTCAGTTTCCACCATAGAGCGCCTATGAATTTCTTCAGAGCCAATATTGTGATAAACTGTTAAGGGATTTTGTTGTTTTAGTTTTTCGGCACCATTCTATAGGATAGATATTGACACAGGGGATCTGGAGGAGAGTGATCGCGGGAGGAGTGTGAAGGAATATGAAAACATATCAAAACTGTTTTGAATTAAATTGGAGTGTTTCACCATAGAAGAGGCAAGGCTATAAAATACAACAGTCTTCAAATATTTAAAGTACATTAAAGAAAGAACAGAGTTATGGCCAAAGAAACCAGATAGATATAAAGGATAATAAGAAGTAAGGAAAGAGATAGATGTGAGAAAAGTTCAAAAAATCTGTAGTTATCCTGAGGCGTTAAGTTTGAATTACTGGGAAAACAATGATCTACCATGGGCATAAATAATGTCTGAAAGGCACTTAGTTTGGGGAGAAAGTATAGTGTCTCTGGTTGAGATATGTAAATTTAAAATACCAGTGAAAATGCCAAGTAGAAATGTGTATATTTGACAAAATCAGTAGAAATTTTAGAAACTATATGTGAATAATTCTGCTTTTATCTAAATGATTAGGCAGATTAAAAAAAATAATATATTTAGACCCATAAGGGAGTAAGTTAAGGGAGAGGGGCCATAATTTTTGTGGACTAATAAATACGTTATTTTTACATTAGTGAATTGTAAATAGTATTACATTCATGAGGTGGAAAAGAAACTCTAATATTAGTAGAAAGCCCAGTCACTTCATTTCACAGTATTATCTCCTTGGCCAGGGATCCTGCATGAAGTCCTGCCCAGACTCCCCTGAGAACACACCTCCTCCTACACCGACAGCTCCATCATCTGGATCACAGCATGCTGCAAAAACTACGTCAGGATCTCTAGGGAATGGAAGTGCTGGACAAGACTCGGCTAAAACTAAGCAAAGGAAAAGGAAAAAGGTCAGTAATAAATGTTTTTCTGGTATAGAGGGTAGGTGGTCTCATTTTGTTCTTTTCAGATATATAAAAAATGTGCTGTATGTTTTTAGAAGCAGCCAATTAACACTCCACCATTCTTTTTGTTTTGTTTATTTTTAGTTTTTGCTATATGGCACACGCACTCACCAGAGGGAGAGAGAGAGAGAAAGGGAGGGAAAGGGAAATGGTTATATCACAGTCTCTCCTCTTTCATTTTCCTCTTGGGATTTTGGACATGCATGCACATGCACTAAACATGATTTTTAAGCCACTGAGTCAGGGATTTTAACTGCACAGATGGCCATGTGGTTTCCAGCACCTTAACTTCCATACTGCCTGCTGGTCCCTAACATACAGATCTTTTTTTTATTTTGAGAGATTTTTGCTATAGGGGTTGCACACTCACTGGGGAGACAGACAGAAATCAAGAAATCTGTGCCCCCCCTGCGGAGACCACTTCACAATCCCTTCTCCTCCATTCTCCTCTCAGGATTTTGGGCACACACACACACATGAACTGGAGTGAGTTTCAGGCCACCAGGTCCAAGACTTGAACCGTGGTCGACCATGTGGGAGTCCAGCACCTTAACCTCAATGCTCCCTGCTAACCCCATTCAGACTTTTTTTTTTTTTTTTGGAGAGGTTTTTGCTATAAGGTACATGTGCTCACCAGAAAGACAGAGAGAGACAGACAGAGAGACAGAAAGCGAGAAATCACCCCCCAGGGGTATGGCCACACCACAATCCCTTCTCTTCTGTTCTCCTCTCGGGATCTTGGACACACACACACACACATGTATCCGGTATGAGTTAAGCCACCGGGTCTAGAACTCAAACCATGGTCGACTACATGGGAGTCCAGTAACACAGCCATTACACCAACTTCTAGTCCGCAGATATTCTTAAATACTACTACTGCTTAAAACTTTTTAATAACTTTCTTCTAGATAGAGCAAAATATTTATTTTTTCTTTTAGCATTTCATTATAAAAATTTTAATCATTATAGCAGTTAAAAAAATCAGAGATTGAACACTCTTTAGCTATCATTGTGGTTCTACAGTTAACAATATACTGTATTTACTGTATTAACTATATATTGAGTTGTCAAAATAGTCATGGTGCAGTTTTGTACAGAAAAATATGTCATGACTTCTCTGAAACCCAATGTTTGCTATATGATGAGACTTCAGAAAGCTCATGGAAAAATGGAATTACAGTACATGTTCATTATGGTGCAAAAACAGATTTGAAATAGATGCACTTTTTTCCCATAATATGCATCTTCTTTGGAATTTTTTAAGATCTCGCATATTACCATTTACTGTATCTATCCTTCTTATTGTGCTTTTACCCATTTATCAGTTCATCCTATGTTTTACATATATGTTACAAAGTAAATTGAAGGCATCAGTAGAGTTTATACCTAGACACTTCATTATATATAATTTGTGGTTCCTTCTTTATTAAGGTAAAATATATGCTCAGTGAGCCTCTTGACTATTCTTGTGTTTTTAAAGACAGGATCTTGCCATGTCCAGATTCTCCTTCCTCAGCCTCCCAGCTGGGACCACATTACATTAGTATGTATACATTATACAATAATTAAGTGCTACCACACTTGGCTTCTTTTAAGACAGTCTTGTTACCCCAAGACAGTCTTGAGCTCAAAATCCTCCTCTCTCAGCTTCACGGAGATTACAGTTAACTACTATACATATATATATATATATATCTATATACAAAAAATAAGCAGACAGAGACAGAACTGATGTGTGTGTGTATACATATATACATCTAGTTTATTTTCTTGCTCTTGAGAGAAAAAGAGAGGGAAAGGAGTTGAGGAGAGAGACCGGTACCCTTGGCAGGTTCTCACCACACTACAGCCCTGGCTCTGACCTCTCAGCCAGTCAGGATCATGGGCAGGGGCAGGCATGCCCCATTGTTTAGGTCAGTTCAGCATCCACTACTGGGCCTCCTATGTGGCTCCAGGGTCATAGAGCAGTGCCCTACCATTGTGCCACCTTAGCTTGGCTGATCTCTTGACTCTTAGCTCTTAAGTGTAACATTTGATGAATTTTTTTAGAAATCTAACTTTGATTTTTCGTGTAGTTATAATCAGTATATATCTCTGTGGGCTATAGAATTTTTAAAGCATGTATATATTACACAATAATCAAATTAAGATATACCCCCATATTCATCTTTATTGTTCATTATTAAACATTGCATTAGGTTGTGTACATTTGTTAATAGGTCTACTAGTTTTTTTTAGAATACATATTGTCCATATTTTACTCTACTGTGATATAATATCCATAGCTTCTTCCCCTTTCTTGCATCCATTCTTGTGTCTATTATAAATTTTCTAAAGACCCCTGCTCCCCACCTTTCCCCAACCCTTCTTTGTTTTTTTCCCTTTATTTTTTTTTCATTTCATTTTCTTTTATACATTTAATCACATTATTATTTGTCTTACAAAATGGATATTTCAACAGGTGAACATTTCTCCCTAGTATAGTTGAAAAGACTACAAAATATCTTCAACAGATAATACCACATTTCTTTGTGCCATTAGTGCTTTGCCTCCCTATTTTTCTTCTAAGTGTCCTTCCTCAGCTACCATTACTGCCTCGATTTCTGTGCTTTAAAATCATTCAGTTTCTACTACATAGTGCTGATATTTGGGTGTATCTTAAGTGGAAGCATAGAGTATTTGTCTTTCATAGTATGGCTTATTTGACTTAGCATTGTATCTTCTACAGTTGACCACTATGTGTCAAATGACAGGATTTTGTTGTTCTTTGTGGCTGAGTAGTATTCTACTGTGTGTATGTACTATATTTTCCCAATCCATTATCAGTCTTTGAGCACTTAAGTTGACTCCATGACTTAGCTATTATGAATAATGATGCAATAAACATGGATGTTGTAGGCTAGTCACATGTATGGTGGTTAAGGCAACTGGATACCACATAGCTGACTACACTGTTCAAGTCCCAGACCTGGTGGCTTAAAAACACATTGGGAGTGTATGTATAACTGCCTAAAATCCCAAACAGAGAATAAAGGATAGTTTAATGACTGTCTCCCATGGGGTTATGCTTTCTCACTTTCCCTCTCTATTTCTTTCTCTCTGTATTTCTCTCAAACCAGTGCACGTGCCCTTTAGTCACTTTTTGAAAAAAAGAGAGAAAGAAAGAAAAAAAATACAGATGTGCTAATGTCTCTCCAACTGAATGATTTCCTGTCCTTTTGGTATATAACCTAGTAGGGGGATTGCTAGGTCATATGGTAGTTCAACTTTTAGGTTTTTGAAGAAATTCGATACTATTTTCCACAATGGCTGTACCTATTTACATCCCATCAGCGGTGCACAAGGACACCCTTTTGTCCATGACTCCCCTGTACTAGTTATTCTGTTTTTGGATGATTTGTTTGTTTTGTTGTTGTTGTTGTTGTTTTTATAATAGCCGTTCTGACTAGAGTTAAATGATATCTCAGTGTGGTTTTGAATTACATGTCCCTTATGATAAGACACATTAAACACATTTTCATGGTTTTTAGCCATTCATAATGTCTTCCTTGAGAGTTGTCTGTTCAGGTCAGTTACCCATTTTTATTGGATTATTGATTTGGGGAGACAAGTTGCTTGAGTTCTTTTTATATTCTGGTTATCAATCCTTCATCCAAACTATAGTTCGCAAATATTTTCTCCCTTTCTGTGGATTGTCTTTTTATCCTATTGTTTTCCTTTGCTGTGCAAAAACTTTTAAGTTTGATGTAATTCCATTTTCGTATTTTTGGTATCATTCTTCCTGCTTTAGAGGTCTTTCTTATTCAAGAAATCTTTGCCTACTCCAGTATCTTGAAATGTCTCTCTAGTGTTTCCTCTAGTAGTTTTATGGTTTGGAACTTTAAGTCCTCAATACATTTTCAGTTAATTCTTATAGTGAGAAATGGGAGTACAATTTCATTTTTCTGAAGGTGGAATCTAGTTTTCCCCGAACCATTTGTTGAAAAGACTGTCTTTTCTCTACTGGGTTCTCTTTTGTCCTTTGTCAAAAGCCAGTTGACTACATGTTGTTGAGTTTGTTTCTGGATTCTATTCTGTTTCATTGGTCTTGTGTACCTATTTTTGTGCAAGTACCGTATTGTTTTAGTTATTATGGCTTTATAATATATTTTCAAGTCTGTTAGTGAGGTACCACCAATTTTACCTTTTTTGTATAGTACTGCTTTGGCAAATAGGTTATTGTATGATTCCAGACAAATTTTATTATTGTTTTTTCTATTTCTCTGAACAATGTTACTGGGATTTTCTTTTGAATTGCATTGAATTTATAGATCACTTTGGGTAATATTGATATTTTAACTCTGTTGATTCTTCCAATCTATGAATAAGAGATGTCTGTCTTTCCATTTTTTGTTTTTGTTATCTTTTTAAATTTCTTCAGTTTTTAAATTATCTTTATGGGAATAATCTTTTACTTCTTTGGTTAAATTTATTATTAGATATTTAATTTTTTGTGATTCCTGCGTAAATAGAATTGACTTCTTCATTTCTGCCTCCATTCACTCATTGTTTAAGTACATTGTTTGAGTACAAAAATGCTACAGATTTGTGAATTTTTTTTTTTTTTTACCCTGCAACTTTGCTAAATTTGTTTATCACCTCTAGGAGTTCTTAATGGATTCTAGCTATAGACTAGGGAAGTTTTCAATTAATAGTTTATTAAATAGATTTTCTGTGCCTTTTCCCATCTTTTTGCCTTCTGG